CGTATCATAGGACATCTGACAAGAGATGATACCGGGCCTAAAGCGCTCCTCCAAGAAGACCACATCAACTAATTTCACTTGCTCCTCCCATGAATTTTTTAATGCTTGTTTTTACCGCGACATCAACTGGCCGCCACAATGATATACAACAAAGTCACCGATTAGCAAGTGTACGAAGTGCACGGTATTTCCATTGTATATGGTTTTAGTTCAACAGACTCTCCACTGCAGCCCCACAAGTTCGATGTCAGCCCCAAATTGGCGAGATTCGGTGTTTCCCATTCGGTCTTCCGACCAAATACTATCAGAGAGGCTGGCCATCGCAATAAGGCTGGACCTTACCGTGATGCGAATGTTTGCGTGTCTTAGAGATCCACTGAGCTGTGCTGGATGATGCTTTTAGCGAATTCAGAGCCACTCATACTACATTCGCCAATCGTTAAAGGCTAGACAAATTTAGCCACCTGATCCTTCGGATAGCGGGTTGGAGGGTGGCTCCTTATCCCTTCAAACAGACTCCTAGTAGCCCACTGCCTTGCGGTCAGGTTTTTGAATCGAAGGCCTTGGTTGCGAACCCCTATCTTTCTCCTGTCTAGGCTTGGGCAACCTGACAGTATTCCGCTCACGCAATCCTATGAACCTTTCCGTAAATATTCTCTTGACGCACTGGCCGTCGCAGCGAAGAATAAGTGGCGCCCTATCTGCTGCATTGAGCACGATGTATAGGAGTTTGAATGCTACTGCTTAGCTCTCCCGTCTTTTTCTTCCCCTCTTACACTTTTCACCTTTATCGTTCCATCCCGACTCCACTTTTATCCCCCTCCCCACTTTTAAACCCTCAATTCTTGGCCCTCCCCCACCTTGCTTTGATAATCTCTTAAATTCTAGTTTCAATTCACATACAAACGTGGAGTGTCACTCCTGCCCTGTCGACAAGCCCATGTCCAACCAAGCGGTCAGGCCCAATACATCGGCTTCCACTTGGAGCCCTCGGCCCTACCTCAGCTTAGCGTGCATCAGTGTGCACACATTACTAGACATCGGTCAATAGGGCAGCACTTGCCCGAACATTAGAGACCCTCTAGATCGATATCTGCTGCTTATCCGAGATTATATTGATGATTTGCGCGAGTTACTAGTGAAATCGTAGGAGCGGGAAACTGTGCCGACAGACTGAAGCCACTCCGTAGTAGTCGTAATTTTCAAGGGCGGTTCACGATCGGAACGTAGCAACCATAGAGGAAACAGTCTGACCTCCATCGCCTCCTGCTTGCTGGCTTCTGTCATCCTTCACAGATTGCCTGGCACTCGTGGACGTCAGATACGTGAGAAGCAAGCCGGGTTTCGTCGACGTCGAAACTGCATCGACCACATCATTACTTTAGGTGAATTGTTGGAGCACCGTCACGTATATTGACGGTGGTGTGTGACAAGGATGCGCGCTCTAACCTTATCTCTTCAACTTCGTCATTGACGAAGTCATAAAGATCGCGTTCACAGGGCACAGCTTAGAAGATGTGAAACTGCTTACATACAAACGACTTCTTGACTTGGAATATACAGACGAAATTGTCCTAATCTGTGACAGCTCCCAATCGTGCTAAGCGGCAGTGGATAGGTTAGCACAAGCTTTCCGCCGTTTCGGATTATGCTTTCCAGCCTCGAAATGAAAAGCTTTCCTCCGAAATTGACAGGAACAGCCTCCTGCGCTGACTTTTGGTGGGGATCAGCTGCAAGTCGTTCGAAAATCTAACTACGTAGGTAGCTTTATCAGCACTTGGGATCGAAGGCGAGATCACGAACCGTATAGCAATAGCTCGAGGCGCTTTTTTGACCTCCATCACGTATGGCGCGGGCGTGACATCACTTTCTCCCTTAAGGGTAGAGTGTACAATGCAGCCGTACGTTCAACTGTTCTTTCCGGATGTGAAACCTGTCCCATTAAATCGACAGACATAAAGAGGCTAGTTACGTTGGACCACCGGTGCCTTCTCAGTTTGGCTCACATCTGTTGGGAACACAATGTAAGCAATGATCGTGTTCGACGCTTTGTTTGTGGCAAAGGAAGAGGATATGAACCGCTCAACAGCGTTATTTCACGCACTAGGCTCCGATGGCTGGGCCACGGGTTGCGCATGCCAGCATACCAACTCCTGCGACGTGCCTCGCTTTCGCGGGTGGGGGGTGTATGTAAGAAGAGGAGGGATAGCTAAGCGATGACGGTCGACAACAATGAAGGCCCTTACTGCGACGTTACCCGCGGTTGGCACCTCTCGGCTCCCTGATTGGGGCCTGAAATACGATTAACACGTTTGGCTGGATACACTTGTTGACATGGCTAGGAGCCGACTGCAGTGGTGTTCGTGTTGTGTAACTTTGTCCCTTACCAGCCCTCTTAGCCCCCCCCCCTCTAACCGCTCCCTTATTTTTTAGCATAATATAAATTTTGCATACTTATTTTTTCCGCTACATAGTAGCCGGGTGGTTGCTTTCCGGAACGATGCCTATTCGTTTCTAGTAGCTCAGCTGACATGCTTTTTCTTTTCTTATGTATTGCTGCACAATAGCTTTGATGTTTTCCAGCTCTAGCGATGGTGTATGATGACGAATAATGAGCGGTGAAACCCTGTCAGTTTTTTAATGGCCTTTGCACCAGGTAACTGTGTTTCCCTCGACTCGACTACACTTTCGCACTGCAACTTCTTACATCAATATTGGAAATAATCGTTTTTCTTTCCATCCGGTATTCCATTGTGTCTTCGAAATGCCGGACAATGTCTATAGAATTTGTGCACTAACTAACAGAATTAGTATGATACTTAGATACATAAACTGACCTGGCACCTGGGAGCACGCTACTGCGTCACTGCTGCAAAGTAGCTATGCTTAGTGTTTTTAAGTCGCTTTGGCCTATGCTGCCGACCTGGTTCTTTATGTGAATGCTACATTCGACTACAGAATGAAATGAACGCTTTTCAGTTAGTATTGGAACTGTACAATACGAAGTCGAATGCAACCAAGTGCTGTTCTATAGCAATTAGAAAACGGACTTCCAATAATATTTTCTTCTGTCCTTTCCGCGTGCCATGAATGAGGTTAGTTATCTTGGTCTGATGTCCACCTGGAAGAGCAGTCATAAAGTGAGGAGCACACCTCTAGGTCTGGTCTATATTGGCTGAGTCAACGGCTAGACAGTTGAAACCACGGCGGATGAAACTGCTGATGCCTTACGCACTATCAACTCTGGCTTTCAAGTTGACCATTGGCAATAACCACCGAAACACCCTGATCATTATTGACCTAATGCTTTGTTGGGCAATACGATGCTTACTTCTCCTCCCCAAAGGCAATCGTAGCATGTTTACATTATGCACTACATAAAGGGAGATTTAGCGTTCCGTCTTTTGCTGCTGAATTTCCCTGCGCTCAAAGGAATAGGTTCCCTCGCTTGACGAATTCCCCAGATAAGTGGCTCAGGTAGTTGATTCACAGTGGATAATCTGCGGTGGACCTTCGTATCGGTAATCTTTACCTGAGGGAGGGTAAAAAAGTGATGTCGGTAAAGGCTAAACTTTATGATGCCTGGTTTCAGTCGTCGGATTGCCGCTCAGTGCATCTGGGGCTTCACGACAACGCTAACAATATATGGCTCCAGCACCCTGAGCATGTATTTCCGCGGCTGCGTACTTACAGGATGGAGGTACAAAGAATTCGGTCGATAGGAGTTTCAAGTGTACCTGTTGGTACAGCGAATCATTTGGTCACATACTGCAGCAATGCACTATCACCTATATTATCTCGTGCTCTTGCCACACTCAAAGTATAAATTAGCTCAATTAGTTTATACGGCTGCGCGGATTTCACCTTTGGGCAGGGACCGTTTACGCTTGTCAGTTTATGTTCTATCTTGCAGGCGCCCTATGAAGCGATACGCATAAACCACACTCCTGGCGAACATTCCTTGCGGATGAGCTTGTGAATTGAGTGCCGTTGCGCCGTCAACGCATGTTACAAGGCGGTAGACGATTGTTGCTTTGCCTGCTTGTTCAGCGAACGTTTCCCCACGGAATTACTTCTATTTTCATTACCTTCCATATGGTAAAATAAAGTATCTTACTATGTGACAAATCTTATGATGCTTATCCTTCTAAAGAAACCGGATCTGCACACCACCAAGATTTACGCTGCATGTTGGCGAGGGTGATGTCCCGACTGGAGGGAAGGGTGCTATCTGCGTGTGCACCCAGTGTAGTCCGCGCTTAGCTAGTCCTACTATGTATTCTTCTTCGTTGCACCCACCTGCTTATTAGTTTGCTGTGAGTGTATATTTTGAAGTTAAGGCGCGCAACCCAACGCGTCGGCGTTTTCAGCAGCTCTTGTGTAACAACAGGGTCCGACTCAAGAGAACCACGTCATCTGCACACTCTTATTTTTGTACTCGATCACGTAACAGGATCCTTACTCCAGGTGATGTAAAAGAAGGCAGCTGAAGAAGTCATTCGTCTTCCTTTTGATCTCTAAGTAAATTAGTTTGGACATAAATAGCACTCTTAACGCACTTCGTTTGTCATGATGGGTTCAGTGAATTTTCCTCGATCGCCACTCGTCCTCCGAAGTCATAATATAAGGATTTTAGTATTGATACGAGTTTGTCGGACGTACTCCTCATATAAAGGCACCCCACAGACAGGTAGGACAGTGAATCAATGTAAGGCTCCAAGTTATGGAAGATTATTATGATGAACTGTCGAACAGGTATTTTCAGGAGTCTAGTGAAACACAAATGCTTAACCACCTACTCCCTTGACCAGGGCAAAATGCACCCTGTCTTTCATAGTTTGTGATTACTCAAGGGTCAGCAAGCCGCTGAATCATGCTGCATTTGATTACCTTGGAAACTGTCGGTTTTCTCAATCGTTTTGACATCTTTATCCCTTGTCACCCAAATTAGTTGGCTTGAAATACTAATAGACTTTACCCACCGTTCTCTCTTTTTACAGGAATTGTCTGAATTTCCTCACCGGCGAAATGAAGAATCCTGCTCGGTACGTTTTTTCTCCCCGCTGTTGATCTTATGTTGGTATATAAAAGATGTGCGGCCTTGAACCGCCACATCGCCTCCTTGTGATCGGCCGGGCTGTCCGCTCCGGAAACCAACATTTCCTTCGCGGTGACCCACTCCAATTTGACAGGACCTCTTCCCGCCGCCTCCGGGACTGCCTTCGCCCTCCTTGTTGGGGGTTCTATGGCTCGGGTTTCTTTCTGTCTCTACTGGTTGTGTGGTGTTCATTGCTTATGCGTACATTCCTCCTGTGCATACATCTGCAGTTTCAAAGTGTTCCTTTCGTTTGGGGAAGTCATTGTTGTCTTGTGTTGGTTGGTTGCCGTCTCGCGTCCTGGTGCTTCCGCACTACTGATAACTGGCATGATAACTGGCACGATAGTGTCTACCACACTATGACTGTCCGTTACCTACCAATCTGCGCTTTAAATTCCCATGTATGTACCATAATGTCCATGCGGCGCTTTTTACGAGGATTAGCGAGTTGTCGATAATGTTGTTGCAACCTATGGAGATGTGCACAGCTGCACGACCAGTGTTTGCTAACCTCTCAGTTGTACAATCACACTGGGCCTTCGAATCGAATTACACAGCGTCCGATGGTACCGCTCCCGTCCAACTTTCATTCCAGCATGGCTAGCGGCTTCAGTAGGCCCATCTGCTGGAAGGCGCACTGGTAAATCACCATCGGGGATTGCTGACATTGAAAATAGTCGTAGCGCAGCACCGGTGTTCCGTGTGTTTCCTCGAAGTAACTAGTATCGTTGGAGGTTTCCATAGTGCAAGTAGGGGCTGCTGACTGTCCGATTTGCATACGTGTTTGAACATTGAATCCGACCAACTTGAACTCGGAACGGGACGGCATAAAGCAATATGAGGAAACTCAGAAGGACCAAGCAAGACTGATTGCTGTTGTCCTCCTGAACGGATGACTCACACTCGGTCACATCCCCTGATGGATGTCCTGTAATCTATGGTACAGTCACCAACTCAGTGGTGCCCTTGTGTTCGTTTCGTCGTTCTGAGCACTCAGCTGACTCTGTTATTTACCATCCTTTTCTTTACAACCTATTCTATCGCACTTCCGTTCACGGATGATAGTCCATAACTGTATCTAACAACAGTGTTTAGCGCTGATACTTTGCTGATCTACAGTAGCAAATGATTGCGCGCAGATTTGGTTCCTGCGAACTCACCCAATCTCATTCAGTAGCGGGAGTTGAGAATCAGAGCTCAGATGTTACAGTCCAGATGCTTGAAGCACTACACCACGGATCCCGTGGACAGTCTTACCATCGGTTGTGGGTGGTGCATGCCAGTGCAATATTACTAATCGTTTCGGCACTACATAGCCGAATCGAGGCACCTGAATTTGGATGCCCTGCTCTCATTTCTTGTCTCAAGTCGGCTATATGGTGTAAAAGGGAACAGCCACTAAGTTGTCATTTGCTTATCTTACTCCCATGTTTAAAAGGGTGGAAGCAAATTACACATCCATCATTGTGTCTGTAGACTTGTTGTCATTGCAATTAAACGTCACCTCTTTATCACACCTTGCTGGCTCAAAGAGTTAAGGCAATGAAGGCTTTCCCTGCTTACGTCCTAATAAGGCGAGCATTGGCCCCATGCGTTTAATCCGACGTGTGCTGGAACAGTGCCACATACATGCAAAGCTTACTTGGCTTTTCTTTATTAATTTAAAGCAACTTTTACGTTATCCAGCGGCACGTGTTTGTGAGACTTTTCATCGTTAATTAGCCTGCCAATATTTTCTTCTTCTTCGAACTCATTAAACCGCGTTTCCGGTTCTACTTACTGGACTGTGGAAAACCGGCTCTTAGAATCTACCACAAATAACGGTTTGTGTTATGACTCTCTTTTATTTCAGTGTTTGACTTAGCTGGCCCCAAGTGTCTCCTGTTTGCTTTATTTGCAATTCGAGTCATTCAACTTGACCGTCTGTTACATTTGGAATATGCTATGGTTGTTTTCGCACTGCACGCAACCCCTTTTCCATACACTGCCGAATAAACCATTGCAGAGTGTTACACTCCTCTACTTATTATTCCCAACGAACTGCTGCAGTATAAAGTTTATATGCGGCATATGCTCAAACTTCTCAAATGCTCAATCGGTTCAATTGACTTGGTAGACACATTGCATCTACTGGTCAAATCACCGAGATCATCGCTGCAGTCACGTGTGTGGAGGCAGATGCGTTGTCCTACTAGACAATGGGCCAGGTGGGTGGCTGCACATAAATCTACCGACGGTGGCTACAGTAGAAAAAGCAGCGATGCCGCTGACCCTGGTATGCGGGTGGACGGCGCCCTGGAGACATTAAAAGAATTGTCCCCACTGATAACTGCCACGTATGCAATCACGCAGATGATTAAGTGGGCTTCCCGTCAATGTTACATCGCCTGCACTGTCTGAATTGTCTTCTTTGCGTACTCGCGGATGATGCATTTCAGTTTACACTGTTTATCACTGCTGTATCTGTTGTAACGCTTCTTCTTTCCCTCTGCTCTCTGCCATTGACAACTGTTGTACTGTTGCTTTGCTGCCCTGTGAGACTGCGACTGTCTGACTGCTCAGTCACGCGCCCAGCCAACCAAAGTAATACCAAAGGCTAGAACTAGGTAGACAGAGAGTAGTATATCTACAGGATAGTTCAACTCTATTTATCAGTAAACGAAACATGCTAATTTGGTCACGGTCACTCACTCTTCTGCATCTGGTTTTCAGCCAGTATAAGTGCATTCCGCTCCACGGTTTTATCATATTGACGGAATAGTTCGATTCCTCTCACTCGATCCCCAAATTCAGCGGAAAGCTCAAAGGTCGTAGCACGCCCTGATTGATGATCTTTGCATGTAGCTGACAGCCTACGTGCTCCGCTAACGCGTCTATTACCTCCCCTTTCGAATTGAGTATGCCAACGTAGCGTTCAAACTCGATTTTGTTCATGGATTTTCGCTTTGGGATCAACTTGCAACCATGGTGGTCGTCTCAGCTTTCGGGTCGGCCTGCATTGTCGTCATCTGCTGCTTGCATCTTATGTTGTGATCCACGTAGCCGCTCAGCTTCGTCTTCCAAACAAAATGTGCCTAGCAGGATGTCCCATGTTATGGATGGCGGTTCCGGGAGACTTTAAGTCTTGTCTTGATTCGGCCTCAGCTGATTTGTGTGCCTGTCCCATTTCTCCTTTCCTACTATTCGCTCGTAGATGACCCAACAGTTTCTGTGGATCACTCTTCCTGTCGACCTCGATCCTCGGAAATCTCGTGCGTACACCACGTTCCCAATTTTGAAATGACGCATGCTGTCTGTTCGCTTTCCCTCACATGATAACTGCAATGCTTTTCTTTCCTGCTTGGCACAAGGCGTTTTGCTCTGGATACTGGTTTAGTGACCGACTTGAGGTTCAGGGTAGTACTGGTGATTCTGCAACATTCTGGACCAGTTGGGAGTATTGCTTCGTGACTTCTATTCATCTGCCTAATCTGACTGCCATTGATTTCTACCGTCGCATCCTCAGGTCTGATGGGCACATCAGATGTTGAAGTGGCAGTATGGCAGAAGTGTTGCTCTTCCCTGGCTTCCGAATTTGAAACCACATTTGTACCAGGATTCAAGTTGAGCAACCTCTGGCATTCTGAAACAATTGCTTGCGATGTCAGCTTCAATTCCGATTTTTGTTCTACTTTCATGTTTAATTTTTGTGATAGCAGTTCGATCAACTGTCTTTGTGATTTTTCGAACTGCTGCAAATGTTGGAAGCTGACTACCATTCCGGATTCGACCGGAACTCGCGTCGCCACTGTTGTAACGCTTCTTCTTTCCCTCTGCCACTGACAACTGTTGTTCTGCTGCCCTGTGAGACTGCGACTGTCTGACTGCTCAGTCACGCGCCCAGCCAACCGAATGAATACAGAAGGCTAGAACTTGGTAGACAGAGACAGGATAGGTTAACTCTACTTATTGGTAAACGAAACATTCTAATTTTGGTCACGGTCACTCACTCTTCTACATCTGGTTTTCAGCCAGTGTAAGTGCATTCCACTCCACGGTTTTATCATATTGACGGAATATTTCGATTCCTTTGACATGGGATGGTATTTGCTGGCCGATCAATTCTCACTCGATTCCTAAATTCAGCGGAAAGTCAAAGGTCGTAGCATCCCCGTGCATGTAGCGGACAGCCTACGTGCTGCGTTTACGCCTCTATTACTACCTGAATCGGATACGTTTCTAGTCGACAGTTTACTTACGCTGCAAAGATGCATGAAAGATTTGACTGAAAGGTTGGGCTGGGTATATTACTGCCTCCCTCTTAGATGACGCCTCTTGGGGTAGTCGTATCGATGCTCAAGAACACTTTCGAGTAGTGCACAAGCTGACGGCTGATGGCATACAGCGCATGAGATGAGCATTGTGGTGGGTTTCTTCTCAGTGGCTTCCATATCAGATAGTCTTCCGCCTGCCCGGAAAAGCCATAGACGGCCATTTCGGTCTATTGGGACTCAGTTGTGCGAATTTATCGGACCCATCAAGATCCCAACCAATGACCAGTAGCGGCTTACACCGCAGGCTAACAGCTTGTGCCACTGAGCCATGGGGGACGGAAGCAGACCGTCATGATTTACAAGCTAACCGGATGGGCGCGCACTAATGACGAGCCCCAACAAAACAGAACGGCCTTCTAGTGTTTTTCCAGGCATATGAAGGACTGTCTGTTTGGGAAGCTCCCACGAGGAAACCCCCACCAGTTTGCATCCAAATCTATCCATAACAACATTAGATCTGTTAGTTCCACCATCTTCGTTTATTATATGACTATTTCCACGGTTCCTGACCCTTTTCCATGGAAAATCTGTCTCAGGCAGAAGAACCAGAGGATGTACTCTGTGAGGCGACGCCGCTACTGCGTGAATTCTTACCAATCACAGACGTGCAACGAGGACAAATAGAGGAAAACAT